TCAATTTTATTTAGTAAGCTTGCTGTTGGTAGGGATTGTAGTATAGTACTTTCAAAATTATTTTGTACATATGAGGAAAGCAAGAATGTGGAAGAAGGAAGATGAAGATCAACCCTGAATGTTGGAGTTTAATTGCGGATATCAGTTTGAAACTCATGATTTTAAAAAGGCCTAGAAAGCAATGACACCCTGACAGGAACAAGCAAATGTAGTATCCAGGTCATGGCTTCTAAGTATCATTCCTTACTAAAAGAAATCAGGGCTTCTTGAAGAAATGGCTGGTTTCGTGTGTGGCCCTAAATAAAAAAGTGTTACGGTGGCTCATGCTTGTAATCCCTGCATTTTGGGAGGCCAAGGTAGGAAGATTACTTGAGCCCAGGAGTTTGAGACCAGCCTGGGCAACATAGCAAATCCATCTCTAAAAAAATATTGTTTTTCAAATTAGCCAGGCATGGTGGTATGCACCTGTTGTCCCAGTTACTTGGAAGGCAGAGGATGGAGGACTGCTTGAGCCTAGGAGTCTGAAGCTGCTGTGAGATGTGGTCATGCCACTGCACTTCAGTCTTGATGACAGAGTGAGACCTTGACTCAAAAAATAAAAATAAAAATAATGAAAGAAACACATAAAACAAAGGCTCCAACTTGAAGATCCCAATAGTCAAAGCTGATACAACTTGAGGATGAAAGAGAATACTTACGCCCATAGAACTATAGCATATTTGAATTTAAAAAAAGAAAAAGAAGGAGATTGGGGTAGATCTTTGACACACAGAAAAGAAAGGGAATTTAGTCGGTATAATTAAAACAAGGAAGTGATACAGAAGAGGTTTAATCCAGGAGGCCGGCATGGGGAGGTTAGCCCACAGTGGCAGATCCATATGGGGATCAGTAAGCAGACTGTTCGGTAGTTTAAGAACACCAGTCGGAGATTGGATTTTGAGTGACAATGGGGAGGCACTCTAAATTTTTGAGCAGAGGAGTTACAATAAGAAATGAAAAAATAGGCAGCTACGAAGGAGGGGGAGGGAGAAATGACAGATGAGATCATGAGGTCTTTGCAGTGGCTGAGGAATGAGGTGCTAGGGCCTGCAGAGGGGCTGGGAATGGATAAGAAATAAAAATGACTGAAATAAAACAAGCACTTCAGAGGATGAATAGACAGAATTTATTCCCTCGATAAAGGAGAAGGGAGCATCAATGACTGAGTGTCCATCCGTGCTGAAGAGTGGAAGGAAGGTAAGGGCACCTGAGCTGAATATGAAAGGCAGAGAACTCATTTTTGAATGTGCTTTGAATTGGTTTTGAATACATTGGCTTTGAGACAATAGCATTTTGATGCTTACAAACCTCAAAAAGTTAAGGGAATGTTCCAATTTGGGGAGTGGTGTTTCTGGTCCTTCTCCTCAACCAGTTTGATCTCTTACAGACCTCAGGGACAAGGAGGACTTGGGTGGCTTCCTGAAGCTTCCATTATCGGTTGCCTGTCATGAAGATTACATGATGCTCCAGAAACAATGCTCAGAATCTTCCCCCTGCTTCTCACAGTGGGCTACCCTGAGTGCTCAGAACAACCCAGTTGGGCCAGAAAGGCATTTTCAAGACCTAACTCAGAGGCAGGCCCCCACGTATGGAATTTCTCTTTCATCCCTGCAGTGAAGCCTGACTGTGGGCCTCTGTGGTTTGTGGCTGTCTGGCTTCATCAGGGTCTGGCTGTCTCACTGCCCGCCCAGCTCTCCTGCTTGGCTGGAGCAAGCATGTCCTGAGCATGGTCGTGAATGGCCTTCCTCCCCCACACACTTGGCATTCATGTGGCATGGCTATAAATTATGCCCAGCATGTTCATTTTCAGTTTAAATGCGTTCTCATCCCAGAGGAGCAACTAATGGCGTCAAGTTACTGATGTGAAAAAAGCCTGCCGCTACAATGACTATGGATTAATGAAACAGCAGTTGTGGAGGCTGGGGCGGCAATAAATCGTCAGCCACCGGTGACACAAATTTTAAATTATGTTCTCCAACCCTTTTCTCCTTCTCCAAAATTATTTTGCTGCAAAGTTGTTTGGTAAATGTTTACCTTTGCTTAAATGTTTGCTTTCTATTAAAAGTTGATGCAAGCAGGGCCTCTTGCTCATAGAAAACTGGAAGCTATCTAAGAGGGATTTAAAAGCCTATCATGCTTTCTCTAGGAGGCGTGAAGGCAAATCTCTTAATCCAGGATCATCACTGACTGATAAATTTCATTCAGAAAACTGGCAAACACTGCGTTCTGTCAGTGAACTCTGCTCACTTGGCATGTAAGTTACTACCTCTACCTTCTGTTATGACACGTTTTCATTTGATGAAGGACCCCAGACAATCCACTGATGGGCCACAGGGAGTCCAAGAATCCCTGATCCTAAAAGCAAATTGCTCATATAGAGAGTTGGCCTTCCATATCTGCATCCATGGATTCAACTAATCACAGATCAAAAATATTTTTTTTTAAAAATTGCATTTGCATTGAATAAAGACTTTAACATTCCCCCCAAAATATAATGACTATTTGCATGGCATTTACATTGTATTAGGTACTATAAGTAATCAAAGTATATGGAAGGATGTGTGCGAGTTATGTGCAAATACGATGCTATTTTATATAAGGGACCTGAGCCCCCATGGATTTTGGTATCCACATGGTCCTAGAACCAATTCCCCGAGGATAATGAAGGAAGACTCTGTGTATTTTTCTAGACAGAAGGTCTGTAGATTCACCAAATTCACTAAGTGTTCTGTAACATCAAAAAAGTTTAAGAATTACTAGGATAAACTGCAGCAAGGGCTACATTCTTCTCCTCCATGTATCCATGCCCTTGCAATGTTACTTTTGAGAAGAGAAGCAGTCTTTATCCATCCCTTTATTCTGGGCTGGACTTGAGATTGGCTTTAGTCCATGGGATATTAGCAAATGTGATGCAAGCAGACTTGAAAAGCATTTGTACGTGGTGGTTTGCCTACTTACTGTTCCCGGAACTTTGCTGACATGTGAACAAGAATAGGCTAACCCAGGAAGCTACATGGCACACCCACCCCCCATTTCCCCAGCTGACTACCAGCAACTGAGTGAGCCCAGACTAGATAGCCCATGCCTGGGCCAAACCGGGACTGTCGATCTCAAATTGTTGGCCTACAGAATTATGAGCTCCAAGCAAGTTATATTAATTTGAACTACTAAGTTGTGGGGTAGTTTGTTATGCAGTAAAGGCTGACAGATACAAGTACTATATCAGAACAGGCAGTGCTTGTTTTGAAGACGTGGACATGTCTTATTCAGTCTTTCTATCCCCCTTTCCCTGAAAAACACAATAACCTTTCAATGTATATTTGTTGAACTGAGTAGAAATGGCCTCTCAAAAAGACTGTGATAAAGCCCCTTTTTCTCAAGGTCACTTAAATAATCAGAAGGGATTCCAGAGCACCTGGCTCTAGGTCTCATCTTCCTCACTTATAAAATGGGCCTCAAAATACATACCTTGTTGCGCTTTTGTGGTTATCAGAGATATTTTATGCTTTAGAGATGTGCTTGATACATAAAAGATGGTAGCTAGAGAAGCAAGCTTATGTAAAGGCTTTGGAACTCATCAGCATGCAGGACATCATGCATGTTCCAATGATCAAAGTGGTCACCAGGTGTTCAGCTTAAGTAGACTCCAGTTTCTAGGCATCGGCTTTCTCTGCTGCAAAGTAAGGCTGGTTCCTTCAGGCTCAATCAAACATCCACGTGTCATTCTGACAATGCATGGCTGACAGACGTGCCGCTCCCTCTGTGAGGGATGGGGAGGGCTCCAAGCAGGTCTGAGGAATGTGGTTGCTGCTCTAAATTCTGACGTGAGTCCTTGTTTTGTCGCATGTAAAAGAAAGTGTGGATGATGGCATGCTCTCTAAGAATCCTTTCAGTTGTAGGAATCCAAAGGCTTCAGTTTCTAAGAGTCTCCTCAAAGCATGAGGAACTACACTGCTCACAGGATCACTGAACCATAAAAGAATGTACTTTTTCGGAAGTGGAAAAGAAAAGGTTTTCTCTATTTGCCTAAATCAGAAAGGCAGAAAAGCAGGCAAAGTAACTGAGAAATAATAAAAAGGAAAAAGAAAAAGAAAGTCTGAATTGAACTGGGATATTCAAACCTTGTTTACTGCAGGATAATGGAGCTTCATGTTAAGCATATCACACTTATACATGGAACCGCAGACTTGGGGAATTATCAAAAAACTTTTAAGAAGAAAAAAAACATTACCTACACAAAGAATTACAAAATGTTGGCTGGACTCAGTGGCTCAGCCTGTAATCCCAGCACTTTGGGAGGCCAAGGCGAGTGGATCGCCTGAGCCCGCGGTTTGAGACCAGCCCGGGCAACTTGGCGAGACCTCATCTCTACAATAAATAAAAAACTACCCGGGCGTGGTAATGCATGCCTGTAGTTCTGGCTACTTGGAAGGCTGAGGCAGAAGGATCGCTGGAGCCCAGCAGGTCAACGCTGGGGTGGCTGTAAGTGTGCTACTGCACTCCAGCCTGGGAGACAGAGTGAGACTCCAACTCAAAAAAAAAAAAAAGAATTACAAAGCATTCATGAGAAGGATTTACACAGAGCCATGAGACATTCAAAAATCACTTTTTTTTTTTTAAGACTTCCTACGTTTTTCTAATAACACCAAAAATGATTTTTGTTCTAGGATTTAGGATAAAAGTTCTTGGGTTGAAGATGCATTTAAAAATACATAATGGACACAAACATCATTTATCACAAAAAGTAAAGACAACATCTCAAAATTCTACATCTTGCCAAATGGACATTAAATTTTTGGTTAGAAGCAAATATGAAACTAGTGACTTTTATCTAATTATACATATATAAAGAGAAAGTTATAACTTATTATTTCACACTTCTAATAGGATTTTTCCATCTTGAATGTTGAGATTTTAAACATTAAAATCACTGAGTAAGCAAAGAAAACAATTATCAGATGGCACTTTCAATCATATTTTTGAATTTATTATAATCATGCTTCTCTACAACTAGTGATTCTTGTGGTTTGCAAACCATATGTCTGCCTTTTTGACCTACACAAACACAGAATAGCATTTCCAATAGGGGAGGTTCACACAGCAAGCAAAGTATAGAGTGTGTGACCTCAGTAAGGCATTCAATAAAGGAATAAGCCATTGTTCCCCTTGACTGGGTTCCCTTAGGATGCTCTTATGTTGGCGTCACATTCTTCTAAAAGTAGAATCAAATCTTCAATCAGGCTGTGTTCTCTGCCATGTGTCACTCTCATAATGTCAAAAGCCTAAAGGGAAAAGAGAGAAGAGAGATTAGACCCCCAAATAGGTGGGCCCTACATGCTTCCTGTCTTTGCCCCATCATGTTAGGGGCCTGGTGAACCTCACAGGCTTATAGTCTGAGCAGTCTCTAACAGGCTCACAGCACTGTGCTTCTCTGTGCCAGAATATGAAGCAACAAGAGTAAATTCTGAATGTGGAGTCTGGAAAACAGATTCATTCTCTGAGTCCTGTGAGGACCCAGCAACCATTGATGATCTTCAGGGATTGTTAGTGCATCAGTTACTACAGTTGCATGCAGAAGGATCCCTTCATTTCTATGGAGGAAAAAAACTGAATCCTGGAGAAGAAAAGCATTAAGGTTGGTGGGTGCTTTCAGCCTGTGTTCCTGGCTTTTTTTTTTTTTCCTCTTTACAAATGTTCCCTTTAGGCTGGAAGGAAAATAGGCAGACAGAGGGGGTCTAGATTTAGATGCTGTGAGAGGCAGGGAGGAAAGGAGGGGGGAAGGAAGGAGGTAGGGAGGGACAGGAAGGCCCAGAGCCTCAGACCTTGCCCTCTCAAGCCTGAAGGAGAGCTCAGCTCTTAGAGTCTGGCTGTGACCCCACACTGGCAGTGAGGGCCATCACCCAACGACATCCCAGCTGCAAAGCCCAGAGGGTGGTGGGAACTGAGATGCTAGGCGGTGCGGATTCATTTCTAATTAACTTGAGTCAGTCTGCTCTGTGGGTGCACAGCATCTGCAAGCAAATCCTGAGGCGGGGAGTTGTCCGGGAGAGGAGGAGAGGAGTTGGGATCAGCCCCCACCTTGCAGGCAGCCAAGCTCTATGAGACTCCTCTGGGCAGAAGATTAAAAACAAATGTTTGATGCCATTCGGGGAGCACGTGCCTCATGTTTTATTCTCTTTTCTCCTCACTGCCCTGGGTCCTCCGCTGTTCTGGACATCTTAAGGTCTGAGGCAGAGACCTGTGTGACAGCATGATTGCAGAGAGAGGAGGTTTCTCAGATCAGAGAGAGCCTTCATGGGAAATCCTCTTACTTGAAAGCACTCTTAGATGTACTCTTCCTTTTTACACAACAGAGGGGCCAGATGTGCTTGTGATCTGGCAAAGGAAGATGAATGAACCAGAGGCAAACCCTGAAAAGCTCTTTGCAGAGAGAAACACAACCCACATCCTAAAAAGGGCTGGGCCTAACCTACAAGAGCTCACTTCCCTCCCAGCTTTCACAGATGTCCTCGGTACAGATGCCCTTGGGTAGGTAAAGGTCTGGCCTTGTTGCTCAGGAGAATTCCATGACCAGCCTCTTTTTTGCCCTCCTGGTTACATTTCTCTGGGTTCCCCATCTGAAGAATAATCTGTGCTTCTTTGTGATTTGGCTAAATGACAAAGCCATCTTATCACTCTGACGATATATGGTTGATCTGTATGTTTTCAAATAGAGTACAGGCTCCAATCTTCCTTCCTCATGCTTTTCTTCCAGTTTCAGTAATAAGTTTCACTTTCTCCCATTTGCAGCTTTAAGAATAAGTCTATTGCTCAAGGGCCAAAGCTACTGCCACTGATCCAGAGTCTTCCTGATCACCAAAGGAGCAGACTTGCCAGTCCTACAGCAGGGCAAGTACCCAAGTGTCAGCAAGAGGCTTTCAGTCCTGTAGTCATTCTGGTATTGCAGAGACAGAGGCAGGAGGGGGGAGCTGCCTGACCTCCCGCAGGCCTCAAATCCAAACCTTGCAGCCTGCTTCCTTAAGGAAGCATCCAAACATAAGGATCATCCAAGTCCAGGGGCCTCATGTTATGGAAGGAACTGCTTCCCGATGTCATCTGGCCTAAGAAGTGAACCCAGGGTAACCACTCAGCTCTCATGATTCAACCCAGTGTCCACTCCATGACTGTGCTCTGCAGCCTGCCCCTGCAAACAGTCTGCAGCGACCAAGGAGAGGAACCAGAGAGTCTTCTGGACATGGCTTCTGAGGAGTCACAGATGTCTTCCTAGTAAAGATGCTTCTGGTCATGTTCTGCATTGTTATTTGGTGGTGAACGCAGCAAAGAAGCAAAGGCAGGAAGGGTACAACCCTCAGGCATGTATGTGTAGGGTTTGAGATACTAAGATTAGAGGATCATGTCTACAAGGGCAGCTAGAAACAGAGAGAAAAAATGAGTATAATCGGAAGCAGAGGACTATTTGAAGAGACTGAAAAAAAACTATATCATTTGTCTAGAAAGTAAAACTAAATATAGATCTGATTAATACACAAGTAAACATTGTAATTTTCTCTGAGTGATGGGCAGATGTAGAATACACAAGGAGAGAAAAAAAGTAGGATTTAGTAATGTGCAAAATATGTCCATGACTTATTATCTGGAGACAGGTGTGTGTATGTATGAATGATGTGACAAGGTGGGTGGGCAGAAAGATGCAGCTGAGACCTGGTGTTGGAAGGCATCTGGTCCTTGTCTAAGATGTCACCTGGGCCTGGGTAAACTGGGACAAGCAGTTCCCAGTGTGATAAGAGAGTCCTATGTGGCCCTAAGTGCAGCCCTTCAGTCTAGTGGGAAGATGGGGAGGGCTCAAAAAACAAAGTTAAAATACATTTCTGACCAACCACAGCAGTTGTTTCCAGTGGCTCTGTGTCTCCCTTCTCTCAGTCTCTCCCAATTGTCACACATGCATATGTCAGAAAGGACAATTTCAGTTTAATTTCCTGCAGTAGCATATAAAACAGATTAAGAAAATATAAAATCGGAGCCAGCTTGTGGTGGGAAAAGCTTATCTCTTTCCATTAAGTTTTTTTTTAATGGTAGCATTTAAAAGGAGTTTGCACATAATCTTTCGCAGAGGACTCATTTGAAGCCTCCAAGGGGTGTGCTTGCCGCACCCACACACAGACTCTAAATGTCACATGAGAAATGGCAGCATAGATTGTCTGCCACATGACAGGCAAAATGGTTTCCTCAGGAATAACAAAAAGGGTCCCCAGAAATGATCTCAATCTTATCACATCTTTTTAAAGGTAATTTTAGAATTGTGGTCATATATTAAATAAAATCAACTAAATCAAATCATGATTTAAAACTGGAAACAATATGTTTCATATTAATTTTTAATATGAATATATTAAGCTTATCAAGGATCTCTTATAGTTTCTACCATAAGCCTCAGGAATCCAGTAAATGATTTCCCAAGCATAATTTAAATATGGATATAAAATCAGAGGGAAAAGGAATGTATGCATGATAAGAACCTCTGGAATCAGATCACAGCAGAAAAAAATGGAAGATTTTCTTATTCTGCCCATCTTGGAATAAAAGAAGAGGTGGAGGGGGTGAGGGGAGGAGGGTGAAGGTGGTCTGGGGCATTCAAAGCAGGAAATGTAAGAAGCCAGAGTTACAACACATTAACAGTTCCAGGGCTACAAAAAGCCCTCTGCAACAGGCAACAGAAAATCCCAAAGATTTGATGACCTTTCTGAGCTCCGCAGTGCCCTGTGGACCCCAATCCATGCTACAACTTGAATAACTCTCCAAGTATATATTTTGCTGGAGGAATTTGTCCTCCCAGGAGGCCGAATTTCCTTAGAAAAAGCATCTGTCCCTTCATGCATTCAATATTGTCTGAGCAGCAGTAATGAGCAGGACTTGGTCCTTGCCCTGGGAGGAGCTCTTGCATAGTCAGGGAGACAGAACAAAACTACTAGGTCATTACAGCAGAACAGCATGTGTTAGACAAGTTGCAAAGGGCTGGGGCACTCAGAGAGAGAACAGGAGGGACCAGGGCAGCTCACGGGAACCTCAGGAGGGATTACAAATGTGTGAGGCTCAGGTCTGTGTCTTCCAGAGGTAGTAACTATCCAAAAAAAAAAAAAAAAAGTGTTGCTATTGTGTCACTATGGTTAGTTACTTAATCAATTAATCCAGTCTCCTCCCTGAGCCTCAGTATCCTCAACATAATCAAGAAGCGACTGGACAAGATACATTTTAAAAGGAATCCAAGTCCTAATGTGTTGCATGACGTAGCATACCAGACATAGAGTTAGGAGGCACGGATTTGGTTTTGTTTCTAAATATTGTTACTGATTTCTAATTTAATCCCATTGTAGTCAGATAATTTACTTTGTATGACTTGAATTCTTTTACATTTATTAAGATTTGTCCTAGGGCCCAAAATATGGTCTATCTTGGTATATGCTCTCTGGTTATTTGAAAAAATGTGCTTTGTGCTATTGCTGAGTAGAGTATTTTCTTTCTTTTTTTTTCTTTTGAGTTGGCGTCTCACTCTGTCGCCCAGACTGGAGTGCAGTGGCCGCTCCCGGTCACTGCAGCCTCGTCCTGCTGCCTCGACCTGCTCCAGCAATCTTCCACTTCAGTCTTCCAAGTAGCTGGAATTACAGGCACATGCTACCACGTCCAACACATTTTTTAATTTATTGTAGAGATGAGGTCTCACCAAGTTTCCCAGGTGGGTCTGGAACCCGCAGGCTCAGGCTATCCACTCACCTCAGCCTCCCAAGGTGCGGGATTACAGGCTGAGCCACCGAGCCCGGCTCACTTCATTCTTGAAGGATATTTTTACAGAATATAAGTTTTTGACTAACAGTTCTTTTCTTTCAGTACTTGGGGGGCGGGGGCGGGAAATGTGTTACTTTCATCTGGCTCCCATGGTTTCTGATGAGAAAATCAATGCATTCAAATTGGTTTTCTCTTATAGGTAAGTTGTCATTTTTCCTTTGCTGCTTTGAGGAATTAGTTTTGACTTTAGTTTTCAGAAGTTTGAATATGGGTCACAGTCTTAGTGTGAATGTAGATTTTGGGGGCATTTTTCCTGCTTAGGATTAACTTAGCTTCTTGAATCTACAGATTTATGTCTTTTTCCAAATTTGGGAAGTTTTAGACCATTATTTATTTTTTAAATAATATTTCAATTGTGGTGAAATATACATATTATACATTTGCCATTTTAAGTATACAGTTCTGTGGCATTAAGTACATTCACATTGTTGTGCAATGTTAC